GTGGTATAGTCCTCTCTTCAACTATAGATCAGTAAGCAGCACATTCAGCTAGAGAGTAGCCCTTTTCGATTTTTCAATATGGTGTGGTATACTCCTCTCTTCAACTATAGATCAAATAAACCATTGAACAAGCACACCAAGCAAAAACCAGTTCGATAGATCAAGAACAATCAGATCCAACAGCTGAGCTAACCCAAGCAAAAAAAGCAAGCACCATTGTTGACCTAAAAACCATTGCACACAAATAACAATAACAAATTGCCCTAATGCTCAGGCTGCTACACCATGGCGCGCAGCATGGGACGTAGCTACCTCGCTCAACCCAACACGACAAACATAAACACCACCAATCTCTAACGCTATGACCTCCTCACACTAGAAGATTTTATTAATCAAGCAAATCGACACCACATCATCTAGCAGCATAAGCAAAGCAGAACAACACAAACTACACTACAGTTTGCTTGGTAAAATAAAGCATCCAAAATTTGGCTTGGCTAGATTAAGCACTTAAGCAACAAGCAGCGTAAATGTCTCCCCACCATTCTCTGTGGCCAAACGCCCTCAACTACAAGCGTTGGTGCAGTACGGCAGAGAAGGGGGTTGCCCAGTTATTCTCACCACCATTTAGAATTTTAGGGGAGTGATGATATCAGTTCAGTCAGAAAACATTCATAAAGGACACAAGCAACATATATAAAGATTTAAAAAAACAATTTCTGCTTCACGGCGTGCTTTGATAGCCGACATAGCAAAGTGAACAATGACAATTATCTCATACTCTACCGCAACGGTTCAAGCAGGATAGAAACAACAAACAATCAAGTAAATACAATTTCTACTCCTGGACATCGAGTGCTCCACTCAGCCACTGACACACCTCTCCATCCCCACCAATCATCTAGTCAACCTCTGCACCACTCGGTCTGTATCCTTTGCTTCCCAGTTCTACTGGTGCCATGACCTGATCGCCACTACTAACCTTGTGCCCGCTCGCAGACAGGAAGATACCGGCACTTCGGAGGCCAAGGCTCACCCGAATGCCGGCAAGCATGTGCTCTAGCAGCAGCACATGTCCAAGCACGAGCAGATTTCTTCACCATAAAAATAGAAGGAATGCACAAAAATAGAACATAAATCATCATCTCCATGGCTATATAACAAAAACCATTAAATTATAAAAGTATGAAAACTAGTATAAAACTATTTCTAAAATTTAATCCATCTATTAGTGCTAGGTTTGGAGTTATTTGTATCTCAATTGTAGTTGTTCCTAGTGCTCGATCTCTCGCAGAGTAGTCCATAACAAAAGGGTTTGGCTACTAAAAAATCTTCAAAAGATGACATAATCACATTTTTAGATTCCATGAAAATATTCTGCACTCAAATTTAAAAATTTGGGCACACAAATTAAGAAGCACTGATAATTGTTTAGAACAAATCTTGCAATTAAGTGCACGCAGATCTAGTTGCAAAAATATTACTGAAGTTGAAAGGAGGCATTCCTATCTTCAACATTTGAACCACAATGTAGCATTGTGCTAGACTAATCAACAATAATCATGCCATGACAATATCATTGATCTGAGCGTCAAGACAAGAGTCTGAAATATAAAGAAGCAATCACAATTCCATGATAGTTTGTTTGATATTGCAACACGAGGAATGACAGAAATAACAATGGTTGTTTGCACTCAGCAATTGAAGTAGTATGCAGGTTCAGAGAAGCAGTATGTATGATTTCAACAACTGCTCAGTAGTCAGTACTCACTCTAAATATTACAATCAACAATTATCTCACTCTGAATATTGCAACTAGCATCTAACAAACTCTGAACAATGGAATCAGTAGCTAAGCAACTGCAGTAGATGAAGAAAGTAACTCTAGGTAAGCAAGCAATTGTGGCAAAAGTTAATGGCAAAAACGAGCAAGAGATCTGCCTTTTCAAATTGAGAGCAAACGTTGAGCCAAAAAAACTGTTGTTGACAGTCAAATTGCATACACTCAGAGACTCAGAGATGAAGAAGCAACTACAAACAAGCAAGCAAACTGTAGCAAAAGCCTTGCTCTATTAATGGCCGACCAAGAGATCTCTTGCTCAATTAGGCATGATGGCTACTGCAGCTTAAGCAAATTGGAATTTAGAGGCAACCAAACCATGGTGGCACTGACACACCTGTGCCTCCTCCGTACACATAAACACAAACAAATAAAAAAAGCAAACAGCAACACTCTTGCTTCAACTAATAAGCATGTTCCGGGCAGAACTACAAGCTCTTCAGTACTCTGAAAAACTACTCAGCCTACAAGACTGCACTCCCCAACACTTCTAGTCTCTCCCCTCACCAAGACTTAGTAGCTAGCCTTAGTAATGCACCCCATAGTTGTCTTGTTTTCTTTGACCCGAACATACAGCAAGGGAGACCCCCACTGTAAGAGTTTTTTATTATTTTTCAGAAAAGGAAAAAAACAGTTTGATTAGGCCTAGAAATTTCAGAATAATTTGTTCAGAATATTTAATCATGCAACTCAGATCATTTTTTGATTACGCAACTCACATTATTCTATTTCAAATTATTCTATTTCAGAATATTTAATTTCAGATAATCAGTGAGTTACATGATGCCAAAAATGATCACCAGATTTCTGTAACCAAGAATGTTGGACAAAAATTCATTAACAAGGAGGATTCCAGAACAACATTTACAGTAACACGTTGGTACATGATCAAACCTTGCAAGATAGAATGAACTGTGGCTAGGTGCTCTAACTTCAATCACTAGCTCTAACTAAAAAACATTAGCCATTCCATATAGTAATATGTTGAGAGCAAACCTACAAGCACTAACTGTAACTGAAAAAAAGAATTGTGGTTGTGGTTCAATACAGTAACACAAAAGGCATTTTCAGCAACAATAGAACTAATCCGCCAAACTTCATGAACATGATTGCTCTAGCTGTCTAGTAGCAGCTAAACAAGATATACAGAATACGAACCCATGCGCAAACCATCAGATGAAGACAGATTCTGACCGCAAATCGGGTACTAAACAAGCGGAACCACTCCAAGTGCATAACCGCAGCAACATTGATGCCCACATCGGCGCGACACACGCATGCATAAATGAGAGAATCGTAGCTTACCCGCTTTGGTTCGCCGTTTTTCTCACTGATGGTGGCGGAGATGATATGGCCCGTAACAGCGTCTACCCCTTCCCACTCCTTATTCTGCAACAAACACGGAAAGAAAAAAAACAGAGCACCATTAGCGACAACGTTCGCAAAGGGAGCAGATCGGGTGGCGCCCAGCCGCGATTGCCACAGCAGATTGGTGCCCATCCCCAGATCTAGGACACCAGCTGATCTTATCACTACGGGCGGTGTGGACCGCCACCAAGGCATCGGGAGGGGGGCGTGTCTAGCTCCATGGGCTCTGATTCACACAAGCAACCGAAACCGAAAACCTAGAACAAAATCACACTGAAGTCACTAATGGTTCTCGATCTCTGGGAATGGGGACAAATTAAAGCACCACACCTAGAATCCTGGAGGGGTGGGGGCATCTGCGGAGTGGGGGGCACCTGGGCCGGTGGCCGCCTTGTCGGTTATTGGGCGGCGGCGGGCTGCTGGCAGCAGCCCAGACGTCAGACGAGGGAACGCCCACCACCACCAGACAGAAGAGGATCATGAGGGCCGACCCGTACCAAGGCAGACCACTGAGGAGGGCGCGGAGGCGGAGAGGTCGCCGTCGGGTGTCGGCTGTCGCGACTTCATGCGGACTCAGTCGAGCGGTCGCGGTCTCCCCGTCTCCGTCTCCCTCCAGTCCCCGCGTCGAGTGGTGTAGGGTGTTAGCGGGTGCGGCCCCGGACCCAATAAGAAACATCGGACCCAACAACAGCCAAACCAGACGCACGCATCTTGAAGCCAATCCAACGGACAGAAACGTCGCCTGAGAGGGAGCCCAGAATTCAGGCGACTGAGGAATAAGAAAAGTGAAATATATTCTATGACTAATCTAATGGTACTTATTTTGTATAAAAATGTTAATACTTTTTTATATAAATATCCTGTCATAGCTCAAACTGTTTGACTTCTTGAAAAACGAGAATTGCATTTTTATGTGGACGGAGGAAGTATATTTTGCTCACAAAAGTAACAAGCCTGGCAATCTTCATAGGGAAGAAAGGATTTAAATACCAAACTTAAAGGCTGCCTCCTTCCCTCGCAAGGAGGACATTTTTTTACCCAGGCCGTGTTTAGTTCGTGAATTTTAGGAATTTGGTTATTGTAACACTTTTTGTTTTTATTTGGCAATTAGTGTTTAATCACGGACTAATTAGGCTCAAAACGTTCGTCTCGTAATTTTTCAACCAAACTGTGCAATTAATTTTTTTCATCTATATTTAATGCTTCATGCACGTATCGTAAGATTCGATGTAATAGCTACTGTAGCATTTTTTGGGAAACTTTTTTTTTTGAACTAAACAAGCACACAGTACCTTCCTTTTCGGTAATCTTCTACAGTTGAATTTTCTTTTACATCAAAACCCTTCCTCTTATCTAGCACGTCCTGCGGAAGAAACCTCAATAAGGTCCTGTTTGGTTGAGCTGTGACTGTGGAAAAAAACTGCTGTGGGCTGTGAGCTGTGGAAAAGCTGCTGTGGGCTGTGAGCTGTAGAAAAGCTGAAAGTTGTTTGGTTAAACAAGTATAAAATGTACCTTTTATCTTTATCTCTCTTGAAACAATTATGGAAGAGCTTTTTATTCCACCAATTTCGAAAAGCAGAAAGTCAAAAGCCAAAAGTAGGGTCAACCCAGCTTTCAAAAATGAACTACGGAAAAACAGCTGCTTCTAAAAAAGCACCCTCCAAAAATAGCCCCTTTGATTAGACTTTTAGCTTTTGAGGTCAAAAGCCAAAGCCAAAAGCCCTAAATGGCGGGATCAGATTCAACTAGTACCGGGCTCCTTCCCGCCCCTTGACGCCTCCACTCCCATCCCATGGCGGTGCCGCTGCCGCAGCAGCCAGACCGCCCCTACCCCTCCGGCAGCCTTGGCTACTTCCACCTCCGTCTCGTGGGCCCCGCCCCCGCCCTGCTCCTCCTGCGCACCGACCGCCTCTACTCGCTCTCCCACTCCCGCCGCCGGGGCTACCGCCTCCGCCTCCTCGCCAGTCCTCATCGCCGGCGCGCCCGCGACCTCCTGCTCAGCACCTACGGCTGCGACCTTCGCCTCACACACCGATCTGGCACCGGCTCCCCGAGCGTCAATGGCCGGCCCCTCTGCGCGGGGACCCCCACCGAGCTGGCCGTTGGCGACGAGGTATCGGTGCTGCGCTGCGGCACAAGGTACGGATTCATCGTGGAGAGGTTCGTCTCATGCGGAGGGGTAGAGGTTAGTGCGGCTTCAACGGCGGGGTCCTGCGCCGAGGGGCTTGTGTTTAGGGCCGAGTCTCTGCGGAAACGGCTCAGGGCGATCTCTGAGAGCGAAGATCCCCTTTCGTTATTGAGGGATTGTTCTGGAATTGGTAGCCTGGATGTTGGACCTAAAAAGTGGAGGCAGGATGTTGCTGGTGAATTGTGCCTGGACAATCCAATTACTCCCGCTCCTGAGGAGAATGCGCTGCAAGGTGATTGCAATTTTGACCAAGACAAATTGGAAAACCACCTTGATGTTGTAAATGATGGCGATGGCGAGCTGCTGTTTAATGGGAGTAAAGGATGCAGAGATGACAATGCAGAGCAGCCAGGATGCGGCAGCAGCAATGAAGAGCAGTATCGTCGTGAGGGCTGCTACTCAGATGGGAGCACATTCTTCTTGAATCGCCTTCCGGGTACTGGGTCTGACACGCAAGCGGGACCACAGAGTGATGTGACACTTCCACAGCTTCTCCATCCTGTTAATAGTTTGGTGCGAGTGTTCATCGCAACATTCACCTCAGATATTTCCTGGTGCGCCTGCTCTCTGCTGCCTTTCTGAACTTCACCAATAACATTGGGACATGTGGTTGAATTCTTCACAGAAATGCTAATGTTTGTATGCTTCTCAGGTTTCTCAACTATTGCAAGATTCCCCAGCATCTACCAGTGACAATAGCATGCCACAAGGAGAGATGCTGGAGTGCAAGCAGTGAAAATAGAATGGCGGCACCTTTTGAAAGCCACCCTAAGCTGCTACTAGTGTAAGTAGTAATCATGAGTACTGTTTTTTTTTTTTTTTTGCAGTTTGAGCAAATGCCTTGTGCTTTTGTTTTTCAAATCTATCAGGTGCACGCCTATCAGATACTGTATCTTAGTTTTGCATTTGCTGAGCTTTATGGTATACCTATACCATAATGGGTGTTTTGCATTTGTTGAGCTCTATGGTATGCCAAAATGGATGTTTTTGTTGAAGAGGGATAATGAATACTAATGTTGTCATTTATTTCTTTTCAAGTTTCCCCCGATTCCCTGAAGAGATAGCATTTGGAAAGGACAGGAAGAAGCAAGGAGTTGCATGCCACCATCCAAAGCTCATAGTGTTACAGAGGGAAGACAGCATGCGTGTTATTGTTACTTCAGCTAACTTAGTACCGAGGCAGGTCAGTTTTTTTTTCCTGCTCACTAATGGCTTAGCTTGAACTTTGTGCATCCTTCCATTTTGCCCCAAAAAAATGTGTTTTCTCTTGTGAAGATCTGCTTCTATGGTCTTGCTGAAGGTTTACATAATTTATGCAGTGGCATCTCATAACAAACACAGTGTGGTGGCAAGACTTTCCTCGTAGAACATCCCTGGACTATGCAGCACTTTTTAGTGCAGCCGAGAAACAAAAATCTGATTTTGCTGCTCAATTAGTATCATTCATAGCATCCATGGTCAATGAAATCCCTAGCCAGGCATATTGGATAAATGAGATTGCTAAGTATGATTTTGAAGGAGCTGGTGGCTACCTCATCGCTTCAGTACCTGGAATACATGCACAAAGTCCTCCTTATTTGGAGTCTAATTATTTCCTTTCAGTAAGTTTAATTTTGCTAGCATATGACACATTATTTTGTTGTTTAGCCCTTCTAGTAAGAATATCAAACATATACTACCTCTGATTCTAAATGTAGGTCGTTTAGGATCCTATTTGGTCAAACTTTCTTTACTTGGACCATCAGTACATAACAAGTTACATGCACTCACAACATATGGTTGATGTTACTACGTTCATAAAGGGCGTACTCAGTGCAGAGAGCTCCCGCTCTGTGTGGGGTCTGGGGAAGGGTGTTAGTGGCAAGCCTTACCCTCGCCTGTGCAATGCGAGGAGACCGCGACTCGAACCCGGGACCTTCCGGTCACAGGCGGTAAGACTCTACCGCTTACTACGTTCATCATGGAAATATTTTCAGAATATATAACTTTCATCATTTAAAATTATATATTTAACAAAAATTGCAAGTCGTTGTCCTAACGGCCTACATTTGGAATCAAAGTGAGTATATCTTTTGCACCAAACAATATATTGCTTATAATTTTGCATACTTTCTGAGGAAGATATTAGCATAAGTGAACTTAACCCTAAGCTCAGAACTAGCTAGTGCTTTGTCATTACTGGAAAAATAATAGCCTATTTTTATGGTGCCCTATTCCGTAACTAGCTGTATCCACTGGTTTTTTCAGGCTAAACATAATGTACACGCAAAATCTGCACATAGAATGTTTATTGGCTCTGTTCAAACATCTGTAGTTGGCCTATCCCATCGGTTTCACATGCCATCAGATGCTGGCAAACAACTAAGAGCCTTATCTGCATTTCTTGGAAAATGCCGTGAGAATATGCATGGGACTACAGAAGTGATCTTGAAGAGGAACACCAATATACCTGCAGATGCTAATTCTGTGAGTGTCCTTGTTGCTGATATGGATAAATTTACTGAGGAAGGTATGCATAGTTCAGTATGTGCACTTTTACTGAATGTGTGCCCAAAGGTTGTGGCAGAATCTCCTAAATTATAGGGCCCACATGTACCTGTCACTGTCTAAAGACCTTTGACAACTATGCATATGTTCCCGGTAACTTTAAAAACTGTCGGGTGTCCTCGGAGAACCCCGAATCATCCACGATTTCCGAGCAGGATCCCATTACAGAGTCATTGCAGTATTACAACATTTATTCAAATATTTACACCAGATTAAATTAACGGAAATCTTACAATAACATAGTTTACAAGCCATTTGTTTCAAACCATACAACTAAGTTCGATAAATAATACAAACCAAAGTAGTGGAGTGGCATTATAACATATTACAGAACACACAAATAAGCTACCCTGCCCAAAGGCCACACATTTACTTATCGTCATCGCACTGAACAACAGTCATGCAGCACGATCCAAAACAGATCTGCTCATGAGCCTCACCTGCAACAAGGGTCAACGAACCCTGAGGACAAAGGTACTCAACAAGACTTAACCGAAATAAGAATTAATAGAATGCAGGAATACAGACTTAGGGGATTCAAGGTATGGCTTTAGCAATAATCAAAGTTCTTTTGCGTAAAAGCTTTTTAACAAAATTCTTTATATCAACATTTAAAACTTCATAAGATCATATACAAAGCTGACACGATCCGCATTGAGATCATGAAACTTCGTATCCAACACTTTCTCAAACCATCCTCAAGTTCCAGTTATTTAAACTACGATGATGAACAGAGAGTTGAGTCTCCATAACCGAGGAGCAACGATGATTCGAACCGATTATAACCCAGCTGGGAATTCCAGACCACACGACATATGCAAGTCCCCGACCTCCGTATACCAACCTACCATCAGGTCCTCTAAAACAAAAATGGGTCCGCGCCACCCGAGAATACAGTACTCCACCAATCCAGCCCATTGCCACGTGGGTACACGCTATTCCCGTCATCTCTCCACTCCCAGTGCGCGAGTAGCCATTCTCGTAATAGAATCGTCAAGTTAAGGCTTAACGGAGTATGTGGTTAGTACTACAAAATCTCATCTCACACAGTTTAACAACGGACGGACCTTAATCGACATAGGCGGAAAGAATCCGCTCACAAGACCTCCATGTCTTGTGGCTCACACACACCAAGTTCGTCCGGTCTAGATTTATTACTCCACATACTCATATCACATGATAACATAAGTAACTAAAGTTCCATTTAAAAAATTTCGCAGGTGACAGGTAATCACCCGATTTTCATCGTTCTAAGCATAGCTAAGCATAACTAGGCATATATGAATTAAAACTGGTAACAAGGTAGATATGGAAAAACAAGGTTGGTAATGCATCAATTAGGTTTTCACTTAACTCTTAATCACTTAATGCAGTAAAGAAAAGCAAAAGCGAAATCAATTTGTAAAACACAAGGTAGGTTTAAATACATCCGAGGCTTGCCTTCGTTGACGGAAAAGTCCGGTTCCGGAGTCGCACCACAATTATCAAACCCAACCTCAACAGACGGATCAACCTCCTCAACTACTTGATTAACTACCACGTGCTCACCTTCGTTCACTACACGTAGTACAATGCCATGTTTAACATGATGCGAGATATGAGACATGATGCTTGACGATGGGTGCAAAAGTAATAACTTGAATACAACTTTTCTTCGCGGTATAGTTACAAGTCAAACTAACTAAACCTTTCCGTAATACTAACATCAATTGCCAAAGATCATTACCAACTAATGACCCAAGGACATCACTCAATCAAAAATTCAATCAAAACCTAAATCATTAAAGGTTACTATTTGCTTTTATGAATTAATTATTTAATTAAGAATTATGAAATAAATCAACTTGTTCCAATTGACCTCAAAATTTTTGTAAATGTTCATCACGTGATAACTAAGTGGCAAAACAATTTTCATAATTTTTGGATAAATAAATAAGCCTAGAAAAATCGTGGAAACTCGTTTATTAATTAATTGAGCAATTTTTATTACATCCAAAAAGTACTGAAAATCAGCATTTCATATTTTTCCTAAATAATACACATCACAGAGAAGTCACACAAAAATTTTCATAATTTTTGGAGCTCTAAATAAATCTACACAAAAATAACAAAAACACACACTATTCATTTATTCCTGAAAATAGAAAAATTCTATTTTGAACTACACAGTCACTGACACCCGTGTCCCACTTGTCATCTTCAACCTCCCGCGTTGACCACGACGGCGACGGCGCTGACCAACGCTTCCTCGCCGACGGTGAGTCCAACGGCGACGGCTAAGGTACCAAAACGTTCACCATGACTAGGCGCATCGATTTGCGGCACTACGGAGATTAATTACGACACGAAACAAGCCTGACGCCGGCCATGGCGGATGCGGTGGCACGGCTGCGCTACGCCGGCGACAGGAGCTCGGTAGCAGTTAAACAAAGGGTCCAGAAAGGTTTAGCATCTCACCACGAACACGCCCGAGCAGGAATTAAGGCCGGAGCAGCAATGGCGAAGCGGGGCGGCGTTCACAGCGGTCACGGCGGCGAAAACAACGACGACGGCGGTGAACCGGTGACTGTGATGGATAAATCGACCAAGCAATGAGGTATTAAGCACCACGGCATCAATACGAAGCTGTAGATACACTGAGCAAGAGCCAAGACTCACCGGAGAGTGCTGGCCGCGGTGAAACGGGATCACCGGTGACTCTGCCGGCCGCGAGGAAGAAAGGTTCGCACAGCGGGTTCCCGGCGGAATCAGGCGACCCAAGCTGGCTGGATGGATGCGCAAGGAGACGGAGTTGGAACTGGCTTGGCTGCGACGGTGGAGCACTACGGCGACGATGTGGGCTCGCCGGAGTAGCGGCGGTGGCGTCGGGAAAATAGAGGAAAAAGGAAGGAAGAACGACGACGTCGTCTGAGCTTTATAGGGCGGCCAAGGAAGCAAGAGGAAGACACGTCGCGGCCGTCTCCGCGCCAGCGCGAAGCCAAGGGCGGCCATAGGCGCGCCTGGAACGCCGGCGGTGTAGCTTAAGCGGCGAACACTGTTCACAGAATTTATAGAATTGCCATTCGTCAAATTTCACAAATTACTCCCAAATTTACATAACAACTCAAAAATCTCCAAAAACAAAAGTTGTTCAAAATTCAAAGTTCTACAACTTTTATTTTATAACCATACCCAAATTCGGTCTACATTTTGAAATGCAAATTTGAATTCAAAAGGGGACACTTTAAGTACATTTCGCCTTTTCAAATTACTTCAAATTTTTCTAAACAACTTTGAAAACTCCAAAAACAAACTTTGTACAACTCAACAAACTCTACATTTTTGCTTTAAGGCTCAACCCCAAAATGTACTTCGTTTTTTAAATGGGTTTTTCGGGTCAAAACTAATCGCTGGAAATCAGGGTTTTCGAAACTTCAAATCCAAACCAAAGTTTGAACTCAATTCAAACCATACAAGGCAACACTCATAACATAAATGTAAACTTGTTTTAGTGAATGCATATCAAAGTTTGCAATATGACCAAATGCTTTGCAATGCATATGATGACATGGCAGTTTTAGTATTTAAACACCCGAGGTGTTACAAAGGTGTTATGTGTTTTATGGTTCACGTGCAAAACAACAAATTGCTACCTTTGTATTTTAATTAACCATATCCCAATGCCTTTCAGATTCTGTCCAACTTGGTTTCTTGCCTAGAGAGGTTGCTAAGTGGGTAGCTCCCCTCAGTGACTCAGGATTCTTCAGTTTCTCTGGATTTATCTACCCTAGAGAAGCCCTGGAGGCTGCATATGGAGTTACTAATACTAAAGTGCAGTTGCTTCTATACGTATCAAAGGTACGCCTGAAAGATTTTAAGAAACCTTTCTCATAAGTTTGTACTACTATTGTGAAACTTCTCCATGCATATCCTAAACTGTTTCAATTAAATTCAGGGTCCAGAGTTTTCTCAAATTTCAGGGCTGATAAGCAATGAGCATTTTCCACCACTCTGCTCACTAATAGCATCCTTGCAGCGGTGCCTTGGACTTTGGCAGTTAGAAGAGGTCTATAATTTTATATGATGAAATTATGTGCATCTTTGATAAAATCATGCGATTTATAAACTAAATTAAATTTTTTTTAAGATGATCATATTATTTGGTGAAATCAGTGTATACTTACTCTAAAATGGATAGTAGTGGTATGAAGCTGATCGACATAACTTAATACCTTTTTAGCCGTCACCATCCAGAGCAATACTTCCAATTTTCTCAGTTTGAAGACCTTTGCACTGCCTTTTGCATTTGTGATATCTGAACAAAGGAGTCAAGCAACAAATATTACGTCTTCAGTTGTTTTTGCCCTCACTGCTCTGTAAGGACATGTAAAATTGGTATTTGTAGTTTCTAAGGTTCTGCTTGGAATGGAAGAGTTTCACAGGGAACCTTCAATTTACAAAGGAACCAGGAAAATTTTCTGCCTTCCAATCAGAGCCTAAAACAGAAAAAGAACTGTACATTCATCAGAATCAATTCAGCTTCTACACTTATTTCTTGTTGCTTGGTCAGTTTGGTTTCTTGATTTGCACTTTGTAAGTTGCTCCATGGCTATTTAGTAGCTTATGTCACTTCTGTCCATACCACCTGTCCAATTTACTGATATTAACCAAGTTTTTCTAATTGTAATTAACATTGATTTGAAGCAGGTATTGTCAAACATTAAGTGGCCTGAAACACTTGAGACTGATTTTATCTACAGTGAGAAAACAATCAATTTTGCTATCCTGAAATAGTTACTTCATTCCAAATTATAAGTCGTTTTGGCTTTTCTAGGTTTATAGCTTTCGCTATGCATCTAGATATACACTATGTCTAGGTATGTAGCTTTTACTATGTATGTAGAAAAGCTAAAACGACTTATAATTTGGAATGGTGGGAGTATTAGATTAAGTGTTTCTTACTCAGGTTAAATTATTTTATAGGTGCTTCATCCATTGGAACTTCAATTAATCCACAGTTCATTGCAAGCTTTGCTTCTGCTGCTGGTAAACGACCCCATCAGGATTTTGACTCTCAAGAATCTGATCCGGAGGTAATTCTTAACTGTTCACTGAAGCTTACTGTATTCTAGTAAATTACTGGAATATGTATATCTTTTCTTGATGGACATACCCACTTAAGTGTTCCTTAATTTTCGTAGTGGGGTTGCTGGACAACAAACCATGAGCTGAAGAAGCCATCAATCAGTCTGTTGTTTCCAACAATTGACAGGGTGAAAAAAGGGGTTTGTGGAATTCAATTGTGCAGGAATTTGCTTTCTCTACCTGAGGTGGATTTTCTTTTGACAACTCTAAACCTTGCGAACAATTTACAAATAAGAGCTCGTGATATATTTACACTATATTCAATATGGAAAGTTCTGCGCATTGAAATAGAAAATTCATGTTTTTCTAGTCACAGAAGCAAATGCTAAAAATAGTGTAAATTTAGAGATTACCCTAGTAAGGTGTATGATATTACTTTTTGTGCCCATCTCGTTGCTTCCTTTTGGCAGAAAACATGGCAAAGACTGAGATCTACCGGTATATTTCACTATGCAATCCCACAACTATAACATCCTAAAATTTGCATTCTTTTAAAATTAGTAAATATGATTTATTTAAGCAAATGTGTGTGCATTAAAAGACAGGGAAATAATAAATTTTGTGGAATTAAAATTTAAAAATAAGTTTAGAAACTTTTTGATGCATACATGCTGCTGCATATCATTTTGTGAATGCTTGGAATTTGTTAAAGATTTGTTAAAGAAATGAAAGTTGAATTTAAAAAGGGTTTTGGAAAATAGAAGAAATAGAAAAGGAAAGAATCATTTTTTTCCCTCTCCTTTCTTGAAATCGGCCCGCTGGCCCCCTCTCCCCTTCCCCTTTCGCCCAAGACCGCACCGCAACCACTCTTCCTTTCCCCGCCAACCATCGGCCCCCACCAAGCCTTGCTTTTTGCTCGGCCCAAGAAGCCCCAGCCTGCCCACTCGGCGCTTAGCTGTTGCCATGTGGCAGTGCTCTCGCGCCCTTGACGACCGACCTTTGGCCCCACCTGTCGGCGTCGTCTCCCTCCTTCCGCAACCGCCGCGCCAGTCAAGCCGCAAGCCGCAACCGCCTCCTCGCCCACGTCTTGCGCCATCGTGGGAGCGTCGCCCGCGCCCTTGCCTCTACAAAAGGAAGCCGAGGCCGTTCCCGCACCCTCTCTGCTTGTTCCCCTCCTCTCGCGTCGCGTGCGTGAGAGAACCATCGCTCGAGGTCGCATGGGATCCACCGTCCGCCCTCTCGCGTGAACCGTCGACTCGAGCCGTCGACCCTATTTCTCCCAGCTGTGAGCCTCGCCGTTCTCCCCTCTCTCCCCGTTCAATTTATTTCTCGTTTTGTGGTTTGTATGGCCATGTCGCATGCGCCGGGAAGCTCCTTGTCGACGGCCATGTCCGCCACCTTGTCAGCCGCGCCCTCCGGCCACCTTCTTGGCCTAGCCTTGACCCCGCTCCCCGCTTCTCCCGGTGCCCTCGGTTATTCGAACTGTGGCCCCTAGCCCTGCATCGAAGCTCGCCGACGTGTTTCTCATCATTGGCAATGGAGTGTTGCTTGCCATGTAAGCATCGTTCGGCCGCCACCCTTTCTTCTCTCTCCGGATCGATTTACGGCGTTCATTTCAAATCCGATTACTCACGTTAGAAGATACCCCTTGGCGGGTGATTATGCTTAAGAGCCCCTCGGTTTTGAAAAATAGAACCCGCAGTCCCTAAGCGCATTTCCACGATTACGCTTTCTTGTTTTGAAAACGAAAAAGTGCAATTGTTCTTGTTCAAAATACGTTTTTAGTATTACAGAAATGTCATTTGAACTGTTTCGCTTATAAAATTGTCGTTTTAGCTCCGAATTGATCCATTCAAATCGCGTTACCTTCGTAATTTCATAAGCTACATGTTAGAACTACTGTTAATCAAGTTTGCAACTTTTAAATTTCATGGTTAGGATTAATTAAATAAAGTGCTATAGGAAAACCCGTTTAATTCATAACTTTCGCGTTTTAGCTTCGAATTTTGTGAACTTCGCGTTGACGTGATCGTAGCGAGACGTAGATTCTTTTCATAAACATTTTATCTTGTTTTCTACACTGTTGGGTACTGTTCTAACTGTATGATTGTTTGCTTTGTATGAATGCCTTTGGAATGTTGTATGTTGCCGTGTTGGTCACGTACAGACGGTGAGGAGAACGTTGGAGACCAAGAATTCTTCGACGACCAGCAGGACCAACACGAGTTTGTGAACCAAGGCAAGTATAGCATGGGACCTACCTTGATGCCTATTCACCATTTATTAATTATTCATTTGCATGTGTCTAATTTTGATACCCGTAAGGACATCCTAGTGATTGATTATCCTGTTCCTTGTCTCCTATGGGTTAATTGCATATGGGTAGATTGCTAGTGCTCTAACCGAACATGATCTATTTGATGGTGAATGGTTCTATGGAACTAAAGGTAAAACATGCTTTTATAACAACCGATCCATAGGGCGATGGTGCAAATGACTTTTGATCATATTGCTCTTGGCCCTCCATAAGGACTTATCTGTCGGCAAAAGCGGGACCGACAAAGGCAACCGTGAGGGTCATATGGCTCTCGCTTTAGCTCAATAATAGAACCTTTTCTAGCTTGTTAGAGGTTACCTTTATGTCATAAAAGGGCTTGCCACGTTGGATATAGGATCGCCTCTGTTCCTATGTGTATACCCGCTGATGGATATGTGCCATAGGAAAGGGGTTCCTACATCTGCCGCCAAGGAAACCTAGCGGCCGTAATTTGTTAGAGAAACCTATGAAATGGCTTCATAGTGTACCCCGCCCGCTCACCTTGGCAAAGTGATATGGGAGTAATTAACCCGGGCATATGGGAATCACGACTCGCGGTGAATGTGCACCACCTCTGCAGAGGGTAACAAAGCTGTTATAATCATGCCGTGCTCACGGTCACATGGCGGCGGAAAACTCTGCAGAATAGCTGGATACTTGATGATGATCTTATAAAGTTGTTTAATGATGATATATGGTACACATGACTCGATATATGTTCTTATGAGAATTAAATGGGAGCTTAAGCATAACTTGATAATACTTGAGAATAAAAGCTTGACCTATTAAAAATGCTAAGCTGCAGAAACCGAGTCTATCCTTTTTGAGCTTCATAACCCCATGTTAGCTTGCTAAGTACGGAATGTACTTACACTTGTTTATTTTCTTTACTTGGATAAAAAATCCGGATGGGTAATGGATGACAACGGCTATGAGGATTTCCGGAGGATTATTAGGCTTGTGGTCAACCAGTTGACCTTCCCTCGTGATGACGGCCACGAGAGTTTTATTATCTTTTTATTATTCATTTGTGATGTATAAGACTAAGTTTTATTATAACTCGATGTATGAGACACCGTGATGATACTTTATGTAATTTGTCGACTTGTGTGTGTGATTGATTCACAGGCACACACACGAGTTTTGTGCATTCAATTTTATCCTTAAAATTGGGTGTGACAAATTGGTATCGCGAAGCGTTGTTGATTCAGAGGACGCAAGCCTAGTAGAAACCGGTCGTTTTAAGGTTTATAAGTTTGTCGTAAAAAACCCTTGCTCTATGAACCTTGATATTTTCTTCTCTACTATGTCTCTATCTTTGCTATTCGTCTCTACCTTGGTGCTTATTTTAAAGACTTTGTTCTCATCTTCACTTCTTGGTTTGTTATGCTTTTAGAACTATCTCTCATCACCTTCTTGCGTGATCTGAAGAAGAGTCTTAGGATTGTTACCCCTAGTATAATAAGGACGATAGTATCGCAAGTTGAGTCAAAGATTGAGTTGTGCATCTCTATTGATTGCTGAATTGTCATTATGCTTATGATTGTTTTGAATCTTTGTAATGATTGCAATGATCTTGTTGGGTGTTCCCACAATTTCATTTAGTTATATGCCTAAGGCATAAGGATTAATGAAATAAATAGTCGGGTTTTGGTTTTCTTCTGTTTTCTGTATCCTGACTTTTCGGAGCAGTCTGCACTCTTCGGCTTATATCTCTATTCTTGGACAACCAAAAATGATGAGAAAATTCTGGACAATAGTAGGCTTTAATATATTTCTCTGAGCGCAAGAATCAGCTTGATAGCTATTTTGGTTATGGAGATACGAAAATCACAAGGAGATGCATCTGTGCTATTTGGAATCTGGAGTAGTTTCTGTTGTGTACAGTTTTAGACCAAGTTAACTGCAGAATTTGGAAAAGTGTTCTATAAGGAAGTTGTGGAGAATTTTAAAAGCTTTCCAACGGTATAAGCTACAACTTCATTGGATTAACAGAATAGGAGTTACAGCCGTTTTACAACGCTGCTGTTTTCTGCTCGCGAAGAATTCTAGATTTTTTTTTGTTCTTGCCTATATACAAGAGTATCAATGGGATGACAGAACATCTTGATATTAGTTAGCTCATCTAAAAGGAGATGCAAGCTATACTTTGGTGTCCCCTAATTTATCTTTTCTTAACGGGGTAGCCAAGTTGAAGAATCTGTAAGATGAAGTAGCGTACGTTCTAGTTTGCGCAGCGGAAGCGTGGTGGTACCCAAAGATGTGAGAAAAACTCAGAGTCTCAATGAGGTTTGGTTAAAGGTTCAGCGAAGGTTTATCCAAGATCATCAAGGTTTTGGTAGAGCTACTGGAGAAGCTTTTAAGTTAGTTTGGATCAAGAATCTACAGGACATCTTCACTAAGTTGGTCTTGAGTTGGTGATATCCTCGTTGGAATGAAAATTGATCATGAATTGGAAAAGTGCTATCACTTGGAGAAGCAAAAGTCATGACCCATGCCCTTAGCAACTGAGAATTGTGCTAAGAAGGTTCGGGTGACACCAAGGATTAAGAACGGCATTCCAAGTTTGAGCAGACGATGGAACTACGCGATAAAGTTAAGAAGAATATATAGACAAAGTATCTCTATCTCCTAGCCGACGTCTTCCGAATCTCGAGGACGAGATTCATCTTAAGGGGGATAGAATTGTAACATCCTAAAATTTGCATTCTTTTAAAATTAGTAAATATGATTTATTTAAGCAAATGTGTGTGCATTAAAAGACAGGGAAATAATAAATTTTGTGGAATTAAAATTTAAAAACAAGTTTAGAAACTTTTTGATGCATACATGCTGCTGCATATCATTTTGTGAATGCTTGGAATTTGTTAAAGATTTCAAAAAGAATTGAAAGTTGAATTTAAAAAGGATTTTGGAAAATAGAAGAAATAGAAAAGGAAAGAATCATTTTTCCCTCTCCTTTCTTGAAATCGCCCACTGGCCCCTCTCCCTTTTCCCCTTGCCTCGCAGACCGCACCCTCAGCTCTTCCCTTTCCTCGCCAATCATTGCCCAGCCACAAGGCTTTGTTTCGGCCCAAGAAGCAGTGCTGGCCCACTCAAGGCGCCAACTGTTGCAGCAGGCTTTGTGCCTCGCTACCACCACGACCACTGTTCCCACTGTCGGCGCCGTCTCCTCCTTCCGCAGAATCCAAGGCCATCAAGCCGCAAGCCCTTTAAGCCGCAACCGCCTCCTCGCCCACGTCTTGCGCCATCGTGGAGCGTCGCCGCGCTTGCCTCTCTAAAAGGAAGCCGAGGCCGTCCCGCACCTCTTCGCTGCTGTTCCCCCGCTCCCTCTCGCGTCGCCGTGCCCGAGAGAACCACCGCCTCGAGGTCGCCGGGATCCACCGTCCGCCCTCCGCGTGAACCGCCGACTCCGAGCCGCCGTCGACCCTATTTCTCCCCGCTGTGAGCCTCGCCGTTCTCCCCTCTCTCCCCATTCAATTTATTTCTCGTTTTGTGGTTTGTATGGCCTTGTCGCATGCGCCGGGAAGCTCCTTGCCGCCGGCCATGTCCGCCACCTTGTCAGCCGCGCCCTCCGGCCACCTTCTTGGCCCAGCCTTGACCCCCCACACTCCCCCGCTTCTCCCCGGTGCCCTCAGTTATTCGAACCGTGGCCCCTAGCCCCTGTACCGAGCTCGCCGACGTGTTTCTCATCGCTGGCAATGGAGTGCCGCCGTGGCTGCTACTGTTCCGGCCGGCCACCCTTTCTTCTCTCTCCCCGGATCGATTTCTGGCCGTTCATTTCAAATCCGACGGCTCACGTTAGAAGATACCCCTTCGCGGGTGATTATGCTTAAGAGCCCCTCGGTTTTCAGCAAATAGAACCCGCAGTCCCTAGCGCATTTCCCTGATTACGCTTTCTCGTTTTGAAAACGTAAAGTGCACTGTTCTTGTTCAAAATACGTTTTTAGTATTACAGAAATGCCATTTGAACTGTTTCGCTTATAAAATTGTCGTTTTAGCTCCGAATTGATCCATTCAAATCGCGTTAGCTTCGTAATTTCATAAGCTACATATTAGAACTACTGTTAATCAAGTTTTCAACTTTTAAATTTCATGGTTAGGATTAATTAAATAAAGTGCTATAGGAAAACCCGTTTAATTCATAACTTTCGCGTTTTAGCTCCGAATTTTGTGAACTTCGCGTTGACGTGATCGTAGCGAGACGTAGATTCTTTTCATAAACATTTTGTCTTGTTTTCTACACTGTTGGGTACTGTTCTAACTGTATGATTGTTTGCTTTGTATGAATGCCTTTGGAATGTTGTATGTTGCCGTGTTGGTCGCGTACAGACGGTGAGGAGAACGTTGGAGACCAAGAATTCTTCGACAACCAGCAGGACCAGCACGAGTTTGTGAACCAAGGCAAGTATAGCATGGGACCTACCTTGATGCCTATTCACCATTTATTAATTATTCATTTGCATGTGTCTAATTTTGATACCCGTAAGGATATCCTATTGATTGATTATCCTGTTCCTTGTCTCATATGGGTTAATTGCATATGGGTAGATTGCTAGTGCTCTAACTGAACATGATCTATTTGATGGTGAATGGTTCTATGGAACTAAAGGTAAAACATGCTTTATAACAACTGATCCATAGGGCGATGGTGCAAATGACTTTTGATCATATTGCTCTCGGCCCTCCATAAGGACTTATCTGGCAAAAAAGTGGGACCGACAAAGGCAACCGTGAGGGTCATATGGCTCTGGCTTTAGCTCAGTAATAGAACCTTTTCTAGCTTGTTAGAGGTTACCTTTATGGCGCTAAAAGGGGCTTGCCACGTTGGATATAGGACCGCCTCTGTTCCTATGTGTATAGCCACGATGGATATGTGCCATAGAAAAGGGGTTCCTACATCCGTCGCCAAGGAAACCTAGCGTCAGTAACTTGTTAGAGAAACCTATGAAATGGCTTCATAGTGTACCCTCGCCTGGCCACCTTGGCAAAGTGATATGGGAATAATTAACCCGGGCATATGGGAATCACGACTCATGGTGAATGTGCACCACCTCTGCAGAGGGTAACAAATCATTATAATGGTAGTGCTCACGGTCTGGCTGAGCGGCCCGGAAAACTCATAGAATAAGCTGGATACTTGATGATGATCTTATAAAGTTGTTTAATGATGATATATGGTACACATGACTCGATATATGTTCTTATGGGAATTAAATGGGAGCTTAAGCATAACTTGATAATACTTGAGAATAAAAGCTTGACCTATTAAAAATGCTAAGCTGCGAGAAACGTAGTCTATCATTTTGAGCTTCATAACCCCATGTTAGCTTGCTAAGTACGGAATGTACTTACACTTGTTTATTTTCTTTACTTGGATAAAAATCCCGGATGGGTAACAGATGACAACGGGTATGAGGATTTCCGGAGGATTATTAGGCTTGTGATCAACCAGTTGACCTTCCCCGTGATGACGGCCACGAGAGTTTTATTATCTTTTATTATTCATTGTGATGTATAAGACTAAGTTTTATTGTAACTCTGATGTATGAGACACCGTGATGATACTTTATGTAATTTGTCAGCTTGTGTGTGTGATTGATTCCTGGGCACACACGAGTTTTGTGCATTCAATTTTATCCTTAAAATTGGGTGTGACAACAACCATATGCCAGGATAGGGCATCCTATGCCTGTTAAGGTATAATCTTCTCAGGGAATATCATAGAATTAAACTTCCTTGGCCTTGTTTAGTTATTCATAAAATATTGAATGGTGGTTTAATAGATAAGTGTCGCGGAAATGCGTTTGTTGCGTTGGATTTGAGGTCATACAAGAAGGGATCGAGTTCGGAACGATGATATACGTGATAGATTAGAGGTAGCACCAATTGAAGAAAAGCTTGTCCAACACCGGTTGAGATGGTTTGGACATGTCCAACGGAGACCTCCAGAGGCACCGGTGCGTAATGGAATCCTAAGCCAGGATAATAACGTGAAGAGAGGCAGAGGAAAACCGAAGTTGACTTGGGTAGAGGCAATAAAAGGAGACTTGAAAGGATGGAATATACCCAAAGACTTAGCCTTAGATAGGAGTGCTTGAAAAACAGCTATTCACGTGCCTGAACCTTGATTGCTTCTGCTGGGTTTTAACTCTAGCCTACCCCAACTTGTTTGGGACTTAAAGGCTTTGTTGTTGTTGTTGATTGAATGGTGGTTCAAGTTAAACAATGGCAGACATGACATACACAGCGTCATTTCTCTGACTATTATGGTTGCAGACATTGACAATGGGTTAGAAACAGCTGATGATTGTATGTGTGTTGTTTAAGGGAAGATGTTAGCGAGAAAAGTCCAGTTATAGCTTTACAAAAAAAAAACTTACTTGATATTTACTCTTTCTTACTATGTCTTCAACTGCTAGCTAATGCTCTTGATATTCATCCTTTTTGGATAAGCTGTCTACCATCAACTTGGATAGACATGTCCTATGTGACTTGCTTCTGTTTACCTGATGTCATCGTTGGCTGATACAGATACTACATTAAAAAGTGATGAAATGTTCAATATTCTTGCATAAAATTCAGCTATGGTAGTGACAAATTTATCTATGTACCAGGTTGCTCAAAGACGCTTCAAGTCTTGTTTTGATGAGCATTCATTCGGCTGGACTTATTGTGGGTCTCACAATTTCAGTCCGGCTGCATGGGGACAGCCTCTATCTCCTCCCTCCAAAGCAAATCCTAGCGAAGCCAGATCAGCACCTTCTGGTCCAAGGCTGCACATTTGCAACTATGAGCTCGGCATCATACTCATTGCTCCGCCACCAGGCATGTCAAAGCATGCAAGTGAAAGTAGGCACAGGATCGAGGGCATCGTCCTGCCGTTTGTTGTCCCTCCACCGCGATATAAGGGGAGTGATAGGCCAGCGACTCGGCTGGCCATGCGAGAGGCTGTGGCTGAGGCTTGTGTTCTGCAGGGTAACGGTGTTGTAGATTTGTCAGAGGATACTGACGAAGATGTGCCAGATGAAGACGATGAGCAGGTGGTTGAGCTATCTGATTGTTCTCAACAAGAGAAGGAAGAAGAGAAGATTTATGCAGAGACGCTATGGGGGCAGGTAGATTCTTCAGAGAGCCAGGAGTGAAGATCGCGTCCAGTTCTTGATGCAGTCCCATGGATCTATTTCGCCCTGATAGTTCAATGGAGAGGGGTTATAAAGAGAGTACAGTACCAAAGGTTGATATGACAGACATGTTTGATAAGCTGTTGTTGGAAGCATCCGGATTCGCATATTTCAAGCGAACTGAAGTTTGTGAAAGACTGTTGTTGTATAGTCTGACGACCAGAAAGAGAAAGGTGGCCTGAGCCACGATTCTTCATTATCCCATTTTTCATGTTTCAGATTACATTTATGGTGTGTAGATATCATGTCATGTTTTCATGTATTTCATTTTTTTAGGAATGCATCCTTGTATTGGAAAACATGATGGCTTGCTCATTCATCTTATGAGAGACAAATGTATACATGATCTGCTGAATGAATAATTACATACTGAAATGAAGATGTGTGATATTCATTTTGCAGCTTATCATTCTCCTATTTCTATCTATTACTTTATATATATGTATATTCTAACTTTTTGAGTTATAATAAACTTATAATTACTTTATTTACATATACCTATTTTGTCCAGTCCCATTCGTTGCAAATAAACAGCATCCAAATATCCCAGCCGTCCAATCGGATGTGGACCAGACGTCATATTTTTCCCGTGGTTCGTCGTTTACTGGTTTCCGAGCAGAAATCCGCAGGAAAACAAGCGAGCGACGTGGCAGCGGCTAGCGGGACGCCTCACTCCAGTAGTCCAGCTCCAGGCTCCAGCAGACCACAACCACCGGCAACGCGAAGCAAGCAGCCCCACGCGGCCACGCTCTGCGCCACCACCTGCCGGACGTTCCCGGCTCGCCGGCGCCGTTGCGCCCTCGCGCTCACACCTCCGCCAGCTCAGGTCCATCGAGCGGAGAAACCCATGGCCCCCTCGCCGCTGCTCGTCCGGCCGCCGGCGATGGTGAATTCACCCCTTCCGCCTCCCCGATGCGCGGCCACGGTTGCAGCGGCGCCGGCGGTTCGGACGGCTCCCGCGGCCCCATTCTCTAGGTTATCTTATGCTCCCCCTGGCCCCTGCTGGCCCCTCTCACCTGGCGCATGCTCTCTCCTCGTTTCCTGCAAAAATTCTTGGTGACATGACATGGTTTCTCTGGATCGCGTAGGCTCCGTACCAAGTGTAGGTTCGCCGCGTCGGATGTGAGAGAAGACTACTCATCCACTCCGATAGATATTGTCGCTGATGTGAAGACGGAGAAGGCATGGGTTTCCGCAGCTCAAGTTCTCTAACATTCAGCTTTTGTTAGGTTATTAAACCGATTTCCCCCCACCATTCTGAACTGTTTCTTGGCGGTTGCAGATTGTGGTGTTGGGAGGAAGTGGATTCGTTGGCTCTGCGATCTGCAAAGCTGCTGTCTCTAAAGGCATTGAGGTTGTGAGCTTCAGCAGGTACTTCTTTTGCTCTTCCCTGTGATGAACATTTCTGTGATGTATATATCCTGTAGAAGCAAATAGGTGATATATAAATCAATTCACTATGCAGCAGTTGCAACTTTCACTATTTTCTAGCATAATTTAAGTTTAGGTTCTTCATCTATTGATTTCTTTAGCAGCCCCTTTATTTTATTAAATTGGGTCAATAATCTCTGTTTTTGTGGTAATGAAAAATGAGAGGTGGATACAGTGTTCTGGGTACCAAACCTGCATTATGTAGAAATTTACCCATTCTGCTTGATTGTGTGTTGATGGGCAGGTCAGGAAGACCATCTTACTCTGATCCCTGGGTTGATCAAGTCAATTGGCTAGCAGGTACTCTTATAGTATGTCGTTATAGGAGTTTGATTAGTAGATTTTACTCCTCACGTTAGTTAACTGCTTTACTTCCCCAACCTGTTGTGTCTAGTGTGTTAATGTTGATGGTTTGTCTCCCAAATTATACCTTTATCAAGTGATTGAGGATACAACTGAATGGAGAATGAGAATAATAAGATTCATATCCAGAGTAATAGCTGTTCTTTAAGAAATGTATTCTGTATGATCCATGTTGTACTTGTCTTCGACAAACAAAATTTTGTATTGACATCATTCTGTCATGCTGTATTATGTATGATCCCTGTTGTACTTGTAGTCAACAAACAAAATTTTGTATTGTCATCATTCTGTCATGCTTTGTTTGGGATATTCAAATAAACTGTACAAAGGAATTTATTTAAGTTTATACAACATTCTATTGATGTTCTATTGCTTCTGAGTTCTGAGATAAGACATATATGCATTGACATACATTGATTGTTGCAAAATAATGTAACCCTGTACATAAGACTGTTTCTTACTTTAGCCTTGCTCACTGGCTTACTGCATGGCTCTTCATTCATAAAAAACTGCTTTAACAAAGTACAACAGAGAATAAACTGGATTTCCTGTTGGCACCTTGTTCCTGCAAATATGTGGAAGGCCCACATGGCGATAATCTACTTTCAAGAATCAAGAGTCTGCGATTTACATGTTGTCTGGCACTCTAATATTCAGTTAAGCACCTTAATGTGATGTAGGAGATGTTTTCTATGCAAGATGGGATGAAGTATTCGTTGGGGCTACTGCTGTTGTGTCTACCCTTGGAGGGTTTGGCAATGAAGAACAAATGAAAAGGATAAATGGTGAGGCAAATACCATAGCAGTAAACGCTGCAAAAGAATATGGTAAGTATTACGTAGTGCACTACAACATTGATGCCATTTTGTATGCTTTATGCTCTATAGACAAATTTTCATGAGATTGATGTGACTGAACTAAGATTGTTCAAATCAAACTATAGTAGTCTGTAACTTCTCAAGTGTCAGGTACATCTAGTGTAACGACAAAGTTTTTAGTTGTAGAATTTTTGTTAGAGAACTTGCTTTCTGGATTTAATCTTCTCAAGGAATGACATCAAAAAGAAAGAGGTGGATTGTTGTTTTACCATATCCTTTCCTTTTGGATTGAAATAAATATATTCATGGGTTCATTTGCAGGAGTCCCGAAGTTCATTTTAATCTCTGTACATGATTACAATCTTCCATCCTTTCTTCTTACCTCGGGTTACTTCACTGGTAAGAGAAAGGCGGAATCTGAAGTCCTTTCCAAATACCCAGCCTCAGGTTAGAAATACTTCACACCATTTATCGTCAGGTTTTTCTCTCGAATTTATATATTCTTGCCATATATTGGACCTGCTTTTCTTTTACAGGTGTTGTGTTGAGGCCAGGCTTCATTTATGGTAAAAGGAAAGTAAATGGCTTTGAGGTACCGCTCGACACTGTTGGACAACCATTGGAGAGGTTGCTCTCCTCTGTTGAAAATTTCACCAAACCATTGAGCTCACTGCCTGCCTCTGACCTAATCCTTGCACCCCCTGTGAGCGTGGACGATGTTGCCTACGCGGTAATCAACGGAGTCATAGATGACAGCTTCTTTGGGGTGTTCACCATTGAACAAATCAAGGAAGCTGCAGCCAAGGTAAGAGTGTGAATCTGTGGTCTTGTTCCCCGGTCTCTGAATGTATTATAGGTGGAAAGTTCGTAAACTCAGCAGTAACTCATGATCCTTGTGTTCTTTCTTTCTTTCTCCCTGAATCTTTGACCATAGTCAATAGTTCAAAAGTCAGTGCAGCATTTTTTTTTTTTCTGCTGGAATTTTCTAGCACTTGAGACTTAAGAGCTAACAAAACTCCGTATGTAGTACCGTGGGTCACATAATTGTTACGTTGGTTCACAATCTTGCTGGAGGTGAGCGGCATGAGCTCACAATCTTGTGAATGTGACATTAGACCCATTTTCAACAACCTGCACTTCGAACCATGTTGATGTTTTCACCAGATGGTTTCCCACAAAATGTTTTAAGTGTCAATCATGTGTATCATTGATCAGATCAACTCAACTAAAAAAGACGCTATTCACAAAAGAACGACCCTATGTTCACGTGAATCCAACATGCCAAGTAATTGACTTAGACAATTAGACATGATGGGGAATGCGGATCCCGGCCTGCGTGTATCATTTATTAAGGCTCTTTTGCCCTTCCTCCAGCCCGGCCAGCGGCCATGATGGGGAACAGATGTTCATGCAGTGCAAATCTTTAGTGGCAATCGGCAGCAGCTGTCCTGCTGATCGACCTGCCAGGTCAAATGGGTGGAGAATCGAGGGCTACCCTACCTCATGACACATTGATACATCACACATGCACCGGTCGTTGACTCGCTGGCGATGAGACTTCAGGCAGTGCAGGGCTGCAGGCGTTGCCACCGAGCGGCATCATGGCAAATCCGAGCGATGAGCAGCACTGCAGCAGGTAGGTTTTCTATGGGCTGAATGGCTAATGCATTCTATAGGGAAAGTGAACGTGAAACACTGGGCAGTTCTCGACAACGTCGTTGAAACTGAATGAAAGATTTGCTGTGACCATGACAGTGGAACAGAGCAGAACAGCTTCAGTTCACATGATCATGCCAACGGCAGGCAGATAAAGGGCGACAGCACATCTGCGACTCATGAAGCATTTCAAAATTTCGAGTTTTCAACCTGGTGCATACACGGGCCAATCACGGCAGATACGAACGCAGTACGACTAGTAACAGGAGCACTACTTTCACCACCACAGAAACTCCACCACGTTTATTCGGTTGGACGGATTTGGCTTATAAGCCATGGCTTATCAGCTAATGAACGATATTTTTCTCTCACATTAAACCAGCCGACGGTTCTCTCACATTATAAGTCAAACCAGCCCAATCGAACGTGGCGATGCCACGTCTGACCGACCACTCTCGCGTCGCGCCTACTACTAGCTAGTACGGCTTGAGGCAGTCGTAGAGGCGGCGATGCTCCGACGGCCAACCAACAGCAGCCTCCCCCGCCGCTGCTGCGGCCGGCGACTGCAGCGCGCTCGCAGTTGGGGATCTGACGCTGGACGGCGACGCGCCGGTTGGCGTCAGGCACTGAGCCGGCGCCCTCGGGCTCTCCCGGCTTGCCAGCAGCGCCTGCCGGGACGCGGCGTCGGGGTTGCCCTCCACCCGCAGCATCTGCAGCTGCCGCCGCCTCTGCTCCCTCCTCACCTCGTTGCGTTTGTTCACGTAGTCCTCGTGGGTGAACACCTCCATCCTCTTCTCGATCTCACTACTACCACACAGCCCACTGTGAATTACTACTGCTGCTGCACACTATCATTCATCAAACTATCCTATCCAAGATCCTAACTGGAACACAAGCACAGAGAGGAGGAAGAGGGAGTGCTGCGGTGAACTGCACTTGTATGTATAGCGATTCATCCAGATCCAAGGTGTTGTTAACCATGGAGGTCACTGTCAGTCGCTTTTGCCTTTAACCAATTTCACAAGGCAGCTGCCATTAGTCCATGCCAAGTGTGAAGTCCACAATGGCGCAAAAATAAAATGCACGCCATTTTTTTACCAAATTACCAAAAGGTCCAGTGCTACATTGCTTGCCTGGCTGCTTCTGGAAAAATAAGAGAGGCCTTTCTAATGCCATTTCCCATGTCTCTCTTCCTCGGTCACATCTACCAGGACGTCGCTGTCATTGATGCACAAAAAAAAAACCCCGCTAGAATTGGAGGATTAGTGGCTGGCGTACTTTGGCAGAGCAAGACAGCGGTGTATTCCAGGTTAGACTCGGCCGCGGGACCCTGTCCCTATCCACGCTCCACGGGGGATTTTCAGTGCAGAAGATTGAGAGATGGTTGCCTGCTCGCAGCGGCATGGAATTGTGGACAGAAAGCACAAAGGAGCTAGAGGTCTGTGGTATGTGCGCTTAGATTCATCACGCGCCACATAATATCTTCGAATTAGTGGCTGGTGATATCAGCAAATCCTCTGCACTGGACTGGTTTTTGCATGGTTTCCAAATTCTAGTCCACATGGACCACATCTCAAATGTTTTCCCTTTTATTTTTGGAAATATAAACCTTTGACAATATTGTCGGACTAGAAAACCATAGACTTCAATTCAAGCAAGTTCATACCATGAGTCATAAATTTACGATTGATGACAGAAACAACAAAAATACTTAGCAGAGAACGATTGGCAAAAGGAAACTGAAACGATCTACCACTCTGCTCATGGACTCATTAGCTCAAGTACGAGCCTCCATGTTTGATTCATGTACAAAAGTAGGTCAAATTCATGTGCACCTTGTGATTGAACAAAAGGTTTTGTTCAATTCCCAAATTTCAAAACAATATATACATTTTTATTCGGTTTATTGACTACCACACCATTCTCAACAAAAAAAAAACCTTGTAATTTGAAACAGACACGTATGCAAACACCCACAAAAATTTACCAGCTGATAGCCCGTCTCTCTAGCTCTCCATTCTTTCACAAGGAAGTTGATGCAGTCATCGTCCTCTGTGCATTTCCAAGGATGATAACAATGACAGTCACATCATCGTGGTACTTTCTCCTACTCCCAACAGGTATCCTCATCAATTCTTCGGCTGTTAAAGCTGGGAAAATAGAAAGAAAGCGATTAGGAGTTGCTGAGTTAGCATTGATGCAGGTTGATCCGAAATGATTTCAAAGATGCTGATTACAATGGGGAAAAATGATACAAAACTATATCAAACAAATCCTGATGCTTCTAATATAATATGGAAAACGAATTGTGCAGATGACTCATAGATTAATGATCCGCAAGGCAATAGCCCTCTTAACTGTTTGATATTTCAATAAAAAAAAATTCAAAATATAATTTGGAGGGTACCTGCTTCCTTGGCTGCTTTGAGTATAAGTTGCTCGATGAGGTATTTTGCAGGATCCCCCATTGGATTATCATGCATAAATTGATAAACCAACCGAACAACTTCATCATTACTGAAGAAATCAAATAAGCCATCACTACCAAGCACAGCTTAACAAGTCATCATCTGTAACTTTGTGACTCAATGTGTGTGGATTTGTGTAAACATATGGAGGGCTGCTCAGATCACGGACTCGTAAAATACCCATCAGTGCATCATTGAACTTCCTCTGCAAATTGATCAAAAAACAATGGTATTAATTACAACTGTAACAATGATACAAATTTTATTCACTTATCCAAGAATAATATGTCACCTGCTTTAGATAGCCAACTCCAAAGGCACGAGTAACCTTCAGCTTTCCTTTTATTTTGTTACCCCTGACAACTGAAGAATCGTCGGGATGATCAGCTAAAAGTCTTTGGTACTCCAAAGGATTTTCAAGTGAGTGGGTCTCTGTCAGCTGAGTAGTCTTCAAAGCACCATTTTCTACATATGGCATGGAAGCAAGCACAGCTCTACTGTCCCCCATATTTAAGATGCACAGATCTGTTCCATGAAGAAGAAGAACCAGAACACAAGACCCTACTGAAACTAAATCTGGTCTATCATCCATCTCTTGTTCAACCATGCATAAAAAGTCATTCTCAGCTTGCTCAACAGCAGTAGAAAGGCAATTCAGCACACCAGCTCGAAATGTTTCAGAAAATTTTATGTCTTCATTTTCTGAATTTCTCATGGCTAGTGTTAACTCGCTTTTAAGACCATTGAGAGAGCTTTCTGATGAATTGTATAAACCATTTTGTTGCTTTATCCGATTCTCCAGCAGGTACAAGTAATATACTATGTTATCATATAGAGTTACCGCAAGAAAATCAGCTGCATCCCTCCCATTAAACCCATCATATATTCCACAAATCAGCCATCCATTTTTCTCTGAGCACACAGCTTGGACTCTATCCTCTCCAGCAGCTCCGCCAGCCATTTTCACCTCTGTATTAGTCAGAAAATTGGATGATATGGTTGTTGGGGCACTGGACCTCCAAAGATTTTTACTGATCTCAAATATAGAGCTCTCAGTTGACACAGGGCTGCCTTGTGAGGTGGAGAATGAGTCCAATCTTGACATTGATGGAGAAGAAACAATTTTTCTAAAGGCATTTGGAGAATCTAGTTCTGGTAAAATTTCTTCACCAATAAGACCATTGCAAATATTTGTATTTGCCAGTGTAAAATTTGCACTAATAGCAGCACCAGATAAACAAGTAAATGAGCCATTTCGTGGCCCTATCATGGTATTAGTCCCAAATATGTTCTTAGGAGAAATGCCATTCCCATGATCATTTTCAGGAGAAAAGCTCTGATAAGAATCACAATGGTATCCAAAGCTCACATTGAGATTGCTACAACTCCTGACAAGCATATCTTCTTCCTCAGAGCTGATGTTGTGATCGCTAGTGTCCTTATAAAACAGTTCTACGTCCACCATGTTTTTCTACAACAGTATAACACCAGTGCAACGTAATACTGCTGGAACACTTTGTTTTCTATAGGTTCCAATGCTATTCAAATGCCATGCTAAATACTGCTCCCTTTATACTTGAACGGAAATGCAAACCAAACCTGCAATACTAAGCACAAAGTATTTCAGAAAATATTACCTAACTAATGATCCGAATACACCTCATTGCTTGTAAAAGAACAAAAAAGGGTCATGTGCTATTTGATAAGCTAATAGCAAGGTGATTGTAAATTAGTATGTTCCAGCCTACTAAATCTGTAATCTGTGCACAAGAATTGCAAAGGATGGCAGCTCAACAAGGCAGAGGGCTGCTTCTCTAGTTCTGGTCATAGTATGGTTGTGATTGCAGTACAATTGATCCTCTGTTTTAATATAAGTATATATGACAATTCACAGGGTTCAAATCCGGGTGATCATCTATTTAGATGCTTGTGAGTTTAGTGGTCGTGTGCATCCCTAGCCAGTGCAGAGGCTAGAAGTTGACTCCCTTCATCTAAATAATGAAGTATTCCTTCCTGCTAACATGGTACTACCTACATCCCTAAAAGAATGCAATTTTAGGTTTGAACCAAGTTTAAGGCCAATAGTATCAACATTTATTACTTCAAATAGATATAATATGAAAATATATTCCATGATGTATCTAATGTTAATCATTTGGCATCGTAAATATTAATATTTTTTTGTATAAATTTTGCTAAATTTGAGATGAATTGATTAAAAAGAACACTAGAACTGCATTCTTTATAGGATGGAGTAAGTAAGTTTGTTTGACTATTTTTCCACCTGGATTTAAGAGCGCGGAAATAACATATTAGGTGCCAATCGCCATTAATAAAATAAGAGAACTCAAGTTTGACTTGTGCAGGCTGTAATATTCGCCTGTTCCCGCATAAAAAAAATTATATGAGGAAATCAAAGGCCACCAGGCTACAGCCTCCTCCACCTTGAATTGTACAAACCTACCCTCTTTAGTTCTTATCAAAAGTGGATACACCGGTTCTAAACTCTGACAGTACTTGCTGCTAAGCAAGCAGATATGACCCACCGGACACAGTTTGCGAAGAAATATGACTGAGTTCTACAAGATCCAAATACAACAACTGAAGAAAAGAAGGAAAATGATAGCCTCCCAATCAAGAACAACATCGTTCGGAGTCAGAGCGTAGAGAGTTGTACTCTTGAGCAAGACATGTAGGGGAACAGAGAGAACACAATAACCTGAAGTGAGAAGGGGTTGCTTCGCATACGACCGGAGCACACGGCAGCAGCTAAATGAACTTCACCGCAGCGGCTGTGGCCAGTGTTCCCACAGAAACTAACCTTCTTCTTGGCGTTCACCTACGCAGCAGCACAACAACACAAGAGAACGGAACACACATGAGAAGAACGATCAGACAGACAGGCAAAAGCAACCAGAGGCACAGAGACGTACAGATGCATCCATCTAAGTTCAGAGAGATGGGAACCGGGCCAGGCGACGCAGCCCCTGATCTCCTCCCCCCATTCCTGAGCCCAACCCCGGCCCCAAGCGCGCAGCAAGGCAGGAGACGCGGGCAATTTGCGTCAGGAAAAGCGCCGGCGCCGCCCGTTCTTGAAAATGCCCTATCGCAGCAGAACAGAACAGAACACGAATCAAGAATCAGCATACCGCGCGCAAGTCGAGTGAGATTATAGTTGCAGTTGCGTGTACAACTACATACGCATCTACAGAACGCGGACCAAGGGAGGAGAGGGGAGGATTCGCACGCTCACCTCTCCGCCAATGACCAACACCGAGCCGCAATCCGGGAATAGCCGAGCAAGTCGAGGCGGAGTGGCAGGAAGAGACAGCCGCGGTGCGGTGCGGTGCGGTGCAGTGGAGATGGGGGACGGAAATTTGGTGGAAGGTGTGGGCTGCGGCGAATATATTGCGGGATTGGGGTTGGGGGTGGTGGCCTGGTGAGGGAGAGGGAGAGGGAGAGAGAGGGAAGCAACAGACTCACCTGGTTTTTCTTCTTGTTTTGATTTTTTTAGGTTAGATCTGACTGCTTCCTGCCTGTGATCTGATTGGATCTACCAAATCTAACCATGGCCATGTTGCGTAGCTATGGTACACTATTTTTCTCTTTCAACAAATTAATCATACAAATCAGTACAATCGGCTTATAGACTAGCCGAACAAGACCCATGTCACTAGCCACCACGATAATGACACTGTGGCTTGTGCTTCGCCCTTTTGTGCGGCCGGAGTAGAAACTAGGGTAAGGTGAGTAGGTTTACCCATGATTGGACCCAGAAACCATTTCAGCTTATCAAGATTATACAAATTAGTGAACTATTCCAACTGAGAATCATTTTAGGGACTCAGTCCAAAGAAACCGAACGAGCCCTAAAGCGTGTTTGCGTAGGAAATGGCGCCCGCCGTGCGTTTATCCCTAGCGGCTGGTGCTCGCGTGGGAGGTAGGGCCTGGCACTTTGAAACCTGAACAAAAAAAAGTTCGAATCGGACCTGAATCAAACCAAAATATCGGTTTCTCCGTTTCATTCAAGTTCGGTTTTAATACTTGAGAAGAAGCTCAGTGACAGAGCTAGGAGCAACTTTTATGAGGGATCAATTTGCCTAATGCTATAGCAATTAGTCACTAATCACAAATTTGATGCTAATTAATACCTAAAAACACAGCAAAATATATCAAGTAGACTCTATTAAATACAAGTTATAATTTTAATAGTCACTTCTAGTATACTATATAGGCTATATAGCAAATAGCTATTTGGATTAATATGAAAATAACTGGAAGAAAAATAGCAATTGAATATTGATTATTAGCCTACAGCTACTACTCATGCTGCAATAACGGGGGAGGGGGGCAAGGCTCAGGTTGGCCTAACCTTATCTCCACCGGTGTATCGATTATCGGCTTCTACTTCGATTTCCTTAATCCAATCAGGAAACCAAGAAACGGATCGCATTTAGCACCGAGAACAAGATTCCTCTACAGACTGCACTCCGTAGCGCACAGTAGCAGCCCCAAGATATCACCATACATAAGTGATAGCCGTCGGCATCCCCCTAGACGCCATAGCCCACAATACACATTCCACTCCTTGTCCAACCCTTTCCTTAACCCTATCACCTCATGTCCTCCTTGCCAACGACGACGACAGTCGCAGTAGTGGGTGAAAGGGTCGAGATGGCGGACTAGAGGGGGTGAATAGTCTTTTCTAAAATTAATCGTGTCGGCTAACCGATATAAATGCGGAATTAAAACAATCGGTCTAGTCAAAACTACACCCCTCTATATATGTTCACTAGCACCTTGCTAAGATACCAATTATGCAACAAAGGTGCCGGGCTAGCTAGAGCTCTCCTAAACAATTCTAAGAGCAAGGTTACACAAACCTATGCCACTAGTATTTTAAGCAACAAGAGAGCTCCTACACATGCTAGTAAGCAAAAGCACAAAGCTAACTATGCTCACTAGCAATGCTTAATAACAAGGCAACCAATGCCTAATTAGAGAGCGCAAGTACTTAGCTACACAAACTAAGCAATGTGACTAACAAGGTTACTAAAACCAAATTAGCCACGTAAGGGAGCTACTTCTATGCTACACAAGCAAGAAGGTAATTAGCAAGCTACACAAGCTATCTAATTACAAGAGCAACTACACAAGCTTAATATGTATAAAAGTAATTACAAGCTTGTGTAATGGGGATGCAAACCAACAGGAAGAATAAGGTTGATACGATGATTTTTCTCCCGATGTTCACGTGTTTGCCAACACGCTAGTCCCCGTTGTGTCGACCGCTCACTTGGTGGTTCGGCGGCTAATTAGCATCACCCGCTAAACCCGCACGTCGGGCGCCGCAAGAACCTACCCCTTGAGTGAGGGTAGCTCAATGACACGCTTTACTAGAGTTGCTCTTCGCGGCTCCCGCGGGGCGAGCACAATGCCCCTCACAATCACTTCTCTGAAGCGCCGCACAAGCTTCTTGCGGGCTTCGACGGAGACCACCACCAAGCCATCTAGGAGATGGCAACCTCCAAGAGTAACAAGCACCACCGGCTTGCAACTCGATCACATAGTGCCACTCGATGCAACCTCATGATGCAATCGCACTAAAATCGCTCACTCACACAATCGAATGATCACTATCAAGTATATGTGTGATGGAGGGCTCCCAAGCACTCACAAGCATGGACACTAAGTCTTCTTAGGTGCTCAACACCAGCCATGGCCGAGGGCCACTTCTATTTATAGCCCCAAGGGCTAAACTAGCCGTTACCCCTTCACTGGGCAAATGTCGGGACGACCGGACGCTCCGGTCCGATCGACCGAACGCTGGACCTCAGCGTCCGGTCGTGCGATGCACGCCACGTGTCCCCTCCTTCAAACGATGTTCGCTGGATTTCAACGGCTACGTAGTTGACCGGACGCTCCGGTAAAACTGACCTGACGCTGAAGCCCCAGCGTCCGGTCGTTTCCAGTAAGCTTCCCGAGGCGTATTTCTTCGACCGGACGCTCCGGTCCACCTTGACCGGACACAGACCAGCGTCCGGTGCAATACCCTCGGTACTGTGTAGACCCATCAGTTTGACCGGACACACGCTGCCAGGGTCCGGTGCTTTCAGACCCAGCGTCCGGTCAGTTGACCGACGCCAGCGTCTTCGCGATCAACTCGTTTTCACTTCTAACTTCTTCACCCTTGCTCCAATGTGCCAACCACAAGAATTTGCATCCGGCGCAATAGAAATAGGCATTCTATTTTCCCGAAAGCGCCGAGAGGGACCCAAACCCATCTCAACCCTGCAAACACCACCCCCTTTATAAATGTGCCAACCCCACCAAGTGTACACCACCATGTGTATGTGTGTTAGCATTTTCACAATCATTTTCCAAAGGATTAGCCACTCAACTTGCTACGCCACTCGATCCTAGCAACGATGCAAAGTTAGATCACTCGAGTGGCACTAGATGACCGATATGCAAACAAGTTTGCCTCTCTTGATAGTACGGCCATCTATCCTAAACCCAGTCATAAACTTCTCTACACACCTATGACCGGTGAAATAAAATGTCCTAGGTTATACCTTTGCCTTGCGTATTCCATTCCATCTCCTCCAACGTCGATGCAACACATGCACCAACACGATCAACAATGATATGATCCACTTCATATCATCACGTGATCATATTGGTTCATCGATCTTGACTTCACTTGCTCTTCACCGTTGCCATCGTCCATCGACGCCGAGTCTTGCTTAAGCTTCACCGCCACGCGGTCCATCACTCCAAAGCCTCCGACTTGCCCTTCACGCTTGCAACCGGTCTATCAAGCCAAGTCTTTGTCTTGATCTTCTCCACCTTGATCACATGACTCAATGTCATGTCTCATTCGCAATAAGCTCCTTCATCATCACATGTGTGAGCTTTGCAACATCTCCAAGCCATTGTCGCCTTCATGGCATATGTTGCTCACACACATGTACCTGTGGACTAATCACCTGTGTATCTCACATAAACACAATTAGTCCACCTAGGTTGTCACTCAATTACCAAAACCAAACAAGGACCTTTCAGTGGGCCACGGATGGCTCGATCCACGTCACCCCGTCCGTATGCATACTAGACACTAATGTTGTTGTATGGGTGTCTGCGTGATCAGTGTAGGTTCTAAAGTTGATGTTGATATTCTTTGACATCCTCTCTCTACCAGGCTAGCAAAATGTATTTTCATCCTTAAATAGTTTTTTGAATTTTCAACTTGTATATGGGTTGAACCGAAAAACAAACCAAACCTACACCAAACTTGTCAGTTTTTAATTTTGTAACTAACCGATTGACTCTTGATTTCTGAGAAACGAAGCTTACGAAAACCAAACAATAAACTGGACTAATTTTTCTATTTGAATCAATTGCCCACTCCTAGTTGGAGCTATGATCAAGTAGATCTCACGACACGGGTTGACCATTGTGCCATCAAACTACCCAACATGCACAATTTTTTGGTTGTTATTCCTAGCATCTAAACCTAACATTTTGGCATAGGGGGCTGAATAGCATGGTATCTCACGCGAGTGGCACAACATGGTGGTTCCAACTCCGATGGCGGCCCCATCCCCATGGTCAGATCTGGTTTCCTCGAGTGCAAATCTAATGTGATGTTGAGCTTAGGCTGCGACCATAGGCACATGCTGGCAACGTGTGTGTAACACCCCGGTGTTATGACCAGCATTTAGACACTGCAAATCATGCATATTATGCATCATCAAGCATCCTAATCATGTAAATAATAACTGAAACCCTGCTTCGAAACATTTGAAACATGCTCGTGAAACATGAATGTTGCATACACTTGTTTAGAGTTGTGTTTGCCCAAATTATGCTTGCTAGGTTAGTAAAACATGTTTGGCTATGATTGTAAATCACCTAGAATTATTTAGCGTAATTTTTGGAGCAAATTTTGTATTCAAGTTATTGCCAAATTTTGCTTTAAAAATAACTCTCCAAAATTAGGGTTTTGAGTAAAAATTGACTTTTATTTTATAATTCAAAATCTAGCAAGAATTGGACTTTGGTCATAAAAGCAAAGTTGTAGAGGATTAAATTCTAAGCAATTTTTATTTTTGGGACATTTTCAAAAGATGTCATTTTCTTGCTCAAAATGATATTTGAAAACTGGTATTTGAAAATTTCTTAAAAATAGAAATTGAGAAAAATGTTTTCTCCTTTCGCGGGCCGTCGCCTCCCTTCTCGGCCCATGGCCGGCTCAGCCCGGCCTGTCGCGCCGCCCCCGCTTCGCCAGGCGCCTGCGTTCGGCCCCATCCTAAGCGCTGTCGCTGGCTATTGGCTCTGCTGCTCACACGTGCCTGCTGCGTCGCGTCCCGACCGCGTCAGAGCGCGACCGGCAGCGTGGCGACCATCTTGCCATGACGCCGCCATGTGTAGCCACGGCCTGCCTCGCCCTCCACACGCGCGCCTTGTTCTGCCCGACCACGCTGCCTCCTCCTCATTCCTCCTCCGCTCTCTCTCAGACGCGGCGGCCAAGAGCTCCCACGCACGCGCCACGAGGCTCGCCATCGCGCGCTTGC